AATATTGTGTGATTGCTGGTCCTGAATTTCTTGAGATGCTTTGGTATGAACAGGATGTTATTTCTCCATAAATTTTGAACTGAAGTTTTGCAGGACATCAATATCTGGACTGGAAATTCTTATGTTTGAGGATATTAACCACTTCATTCCAAGCCCCCTGGTGCTGAGGTTTGAGGTGAGAATTCCGCTGTTACTGGGGTCTGTTCCCCTTTATACTTTTCATATATGTTCATATTTGTAGGGTTGTCGCCTGTCGTTGGTTTTGTGTCCTTGGACAATGATGGCATCTGGAGAGGATCTCATTTGGTCTTGGCTAACTGTCGTTGTACATGCCTTACTGAAGTGTGTGTTTTTTACTTCAGAAACATTTAAGAAGCTGCCTGCTATTATTTCTGTAACAGATTTTTCTGATATTTGTAGTGTTCTGATTTTTCATGTATTTGTATTAATCTGTGACTGGTCTTCTTTGGTTCCTCTAGCACTTACTGAATCCACTTTCCATGTGTTCGTAGGATGTTAGCCCTGTCTTTGAATATTTTTTCATTGAGAGCATCCCTATATTCTAATTCTGAAATTCTTTCCTCATGTTGGGTGCTTCTGTTGCCCACAGTTTCTGTATAATTTTTAATCTCTGTTACTATTATTGTCCTTTCATGGACTCTACTGTTTTGTTCAACTGTTCATTCACATTTTCTATTGTTTCCTTTAACTCAACTACCTTTATAGTTTTGTGTCCTGAGAGCTCCTTGATAACTTTAGCTATTACTTCCATTATCTGTTTATTTATGTCTTCTGAAATGATCCCTAGCACTTCCTAGATTTATTTTCTAACCTCCTCTGTTATCCTTCCAAGTAATTTGGGTTCATTGCTGATACTATTCTCTCATTCCCCCTCAGATTGGCTTTGGCGGAGTTTGGAGTTTTGGCTGCCATTTGGTTGACATGGCTTTGCATATTTATATTGTTTCTTGTTTGTTGTGTTCTGTGCTAAAGTAGGTGGCACCTACAGTTGAAAGCCTTTGTTGCTCCCATTGGAATTTCTTCTGTTAGTCTACTTTACAGTGATGTATTTAGGGTAAGGCTCACTATAGTTCCTTAACTGACTCCTGAAATCCAACCACTTCACTCCACTTGGAAGGGGGGTATGGAGGGCAGCGGACCTAATACCAAGCTCCCAACACGTACTGGAGCATTATTAATATCCCAAAGGTAGTCCGACTGTTGGCACAGAAATGAAACCCATTAAGAAAAACATTTGTGTGACCCTGAAAATTTCAAGCAAATCACTGGCTGTGATATTTTCTAAGACAGATTGTACATTAACACACAAGACAAACCAATTAGGCATCATCCTACACCATAGGATAGAAATGCATCATTATAGGGTAAACCTCAGGACAACCCAACATTGGCTCACAGCTATTCTATACTAAATGTGACAACTATGGCTCTGCTAGCAGTACAGTTTCATAAAAGCCTTAGGGAGTTAACAATCTAAGTATTAGTAAAGCGTCATGGGTACATAGGTAAAGGTACATTTAGCTGAGGAAAGGGAAATGCCAGAAGAAAAATTGTAAAAATTGAACATAAACATGAAAAAGCATAGAAAATCAGAGGCACAAGTGGTGCTATCAGGGACTAGAAGGATGACTATAGAGACAAATGTAAGGAAGAGAATTGGATATTAGAATTAAAGGAAAAATATTAGAAATCATATGGATAACAAAATTATTAAAAACACAAATGGAAACATTTAATAGAAAAGAGGGAACAAACAAAAATGCAAAAGAAAGAGTTGTACTGATAGTATTTGGACAGGATATCATGTCTTCATTTTGTACTGTAAATAACCACTACGAAGACAATATGCAATGTACTAATTACTGAAACTGTCCTACTAATTGGTTTTGAAACTGTCTCATTGCTACTTGTTTCTCAATAAAATTAATTTTAAAAATGCAAAAGATAAAAGAAGAAAGCCAGAATGCACTCTCCCTGGGGAGGTCAGTACCCGCTTCTTGAAATCACTCGCTCCTCTCTGAGGCCTTCAAGGAGTGAGAGATGGAAGTGCACTCCAGCTGGGTTCCGAGGGCCCAACGACAGGTGATAAAGAGGTGGAGGCTGTGGGGATGCGTGGCCAGCTGAAGGCCTGCACTGGGCCCCGTCCTAGACCACAGCAGGGCCTGGGATCCTCCTTCCGCTCTCCTTTCTCCCCCTGCCTCCTACCAAGGCGTTCACCTTCCACTCTACAATTCTGTCCTGAAGCTGGCTCTGTGGTGCCAACCCTATAAACTGTGAGCTCCCATCTCTCACTCCTTGAAGGCCTCAGAGAGGAGCCTGTAATTTCAAGAAGGTGGTTCTGACCTTTCTAGGGAGAGTGCACTCTGACTTTCTTCATTTCTCTTTTGGTGATGCTCAATGAGTAGTTTCAGTCCTGGATGTGCAACTTTTTTGCAGTACCAGAGATTGAACTCAGGACCCCGCGCTTGCCAGGCAAGTGCTTATTCTACTGAGCTATCTCTCCGGCCCCTGGATGTGGAACTTTGGAGTCTCCCCTTCTCCATTTCCTGAGGGCCCTGATGGTTTCCCAGGCTCGGGATGTGTCCCAGTCATGCTGAGCTGCTGCTCACCATGGAAGCTGCGGAAGGCACCAGGCCTCAGATCAGTGCAAGTCAGGCAGGGCCTGGCTTCGGGCTGCTTGTTGCTGAGGTGTGTCCTTCACAGACCAATCCCAACCCCTCAGGGGTCTCATCCCAGCCTGCTTCCCGTCCACAGCTATATCCTGTTGCTGTCACTCCCAGGCACTGTGTGCAGGTAACACGGATGTGAAGTCATCGCACTTCTGAGTCCCAGGCTCATAGAGTTAAGGCTTAGTCCCAGTGAGCCCCACACCCACACTCTCTCCAGGGAAAATTTGGCACTGGTATTCAGGAAGATTCCCTGCCTTGACAGTGCACCAGAGCTCTAGTCTGTCCCTAAAGATGTCAGCCCCTGGGGGCAGGTAATCCAGAGCTGCTCCCCAGGACACTCTGTAGTCCACAGGAATCTCTTTGATTCCACAAATTCACCTGCTTCTGGATATGAGCCAGAAATCAGAAAACAAGTCCAGATGGTTAGTACCCTCTGCATATTACAGTCTGTCTCTTCAGACTACCTGTACTTTATTTCCTTCTCAGTTCCTTCCTGGTACCCGGTTACCTCCTCTCAATTTCTCTTTTATTCTCCTGCCTGGGATTGATACTTTTCAGAGGCTGGATTCTGACCTGAGGGAGGCTGAATTGCTGGTGCTCACCACTTCTTCATTTTCCAGCACAGAGCATAGGAATTTCAACCACATTCGCATAAAGACGGTTAGACTCAGAGCTTGGCTCCCTGTTCTTGGCCCTGCACTACAAGGAAAGAGTAGAGTCATTACATGAACTGCTGTCATTGATGCAAACAAGCAGACATAGGCAGACTCAGAAAGATGAGGCTCTTAGTCCAGGAGGCGACACAGGTCAGCACAGGAATCTTCAGCAAGTCAGCAGAAGCAGAACCCCAAGAGCTGGTCTTTGCAGGGTGTCCAACCTCCTGAGGATGACAGTGTCCTCTGTCCAGAAACAACAGCCCCCACAGTGTGTGCTGCCCCCTGGGTCAGCTGGGGGTGGACCTCAGTGTATGTACCCCCCTGTCACAAGTCAGAAGGGAGTCATCAGGGAAAGGAAGTCTTCGTGTCAAGGGGAGACAAAAGCCCACCCTGGGACGGATGGGGCTGAGGGAGGGCAGCACCAAAGAGCATAAGTAAGGATCTTCAGAAGCGCACAGGGAAGCCTTTCTTACGCTCTCACTGTGGAGGCACTGTACTGACTTCTGCAGTGCATTGGACGAAGTGATGGATAGCGCTCACAGTTTATAGGGTTGTCACCACACAGCCAGCTTCAGGGCAGATTGTAGAGTGGAAGGTGAACACCTTGGTAGGAGGCAGAGGGAGCAAGGACAGCAGAAAGAGGATGCGAAGCCCTGCTATGGTCTAGGACGGGGCCCAGTGCATGCTCTCAGCTGGCCATGCAGCCCCATAGCCTCTACCTCTCTAGCACCTGTCATCAGGCCCTCAGAACCCCGCTGGAGTGCACTCCCATCTCTCTCTTTGAAGGCCTCAGAGAAGAACACTCCCATCTCTCACTCTTTGAAGGACCCAGAGAAAGGAGCCTGTGCTTTCAAGAATCTGGTGCTGACCTTCCCACAGAGAGACCCAGACCTCCTCACTATCACCATGAGGATGGACCAGGTTCCCTTTCCTGGGAAACAGAACCCACCAAACTTGCACCCCACCCCCTGCTGCCTGCAGACAACTGTGTCCAGATATGTGTCCCCTCACAAACTTTGTTCCCTCGCAGGGGGAGACTGCTTTCCCAAGAGTGCCCCTCAAGCAAGCAGAGCACTGGGAACCACGCCCTGCTTCAGAGCACCTGAGGGCCCTGGGTGAGCAAGTACCAGAAGCGGGGATCTCAGAGGTCAAGTCCACCACTCATGTGAGGTCTGGGGAGCAGGACTGGGCTTGAGCTGTACAGCCTGAAGGCCTCTGTGTGTCTTACAGGAGCTCCAGGGAGCAGGCAGGGAAGGTCGTGGTGTGAAGCAGCGTCCACAGCTCACACAGCAGAAGAGCCCCAGGTGGTGTCAGGAGTCAAGGTGAGGTGCACGTCATGATGAGATCCTAGGGTCCCACCCATCCCAGAGCATAATGCATCACACCTGGGCTCCATAGGACTTACTCTCCTCCCTAGAGCCTTGTTCTCTGCAGGGTCCCTGCGGCCTGAGAAGCAGCCTCACTTCATATCCCAGGATCACAGGGAAGGGGCTTCAGGAGGAAGTGAGCCTCTGAAATCCTAGTGTACCCCACAAGGGAAGACCTCTAGTGGCCTTTCGTGGGAAGGAAGCAGTGTGTTGAGCCAACCTCCCTCTCTGTTCCAGGCATTTGAGTCTTCAACAACAAGCCTGTGCTGCGTGCAAGGAACCTCAGGATGCCTCGTGGTCAGTGGAGACGAGACAAACAGCTCCAGAGAGGCAGTCCTGCTCAAAGCAGAAAACGGATCCGCAGGGATGCACAGGTCCGCAAGATTGAGGAGAAGGAAGCAGCAGCCAGTGCCTCATCTGCATTTTGTTTCACCTACGCCTCCATGGGAGCCACAGAGGAGGAGTCTGGGTCTGAGACACCTGGTTGTCCCCAGAATCCTCAGGGCATGTTTCCTGCCCCCACTGTGATGTCTTTCGATCCAAGGAGCCCGTGCAAAGAGGGCTCTGGCACACAAGGAGAGGAGGGTCCGAGTCCCTCGCAGGGCAGGGGGGCTCCCCAGATCACGAGGGAAGAGTTCATCAATCACAACTTAGGTAAATTCTTGCCATTTCTGCTCCTTAAGTTTCAAAATAAGGAGCTAATCACCTTGAAAGAGATGGTCCACGCTGTGGACCCAGCTCACCGGGAGCACTGCCCTCTGGTCTTTAGGGGTGTCTGTGAGTGCATGTGCATGAGCTTTGGCGTTGAGATGAGGCCAGCAGAAAATTTTAGTCACAGTTATGAGCTCGTCCCTGTCTTGGGCCTCACTTACACCGGGCTACTAGATAATGTAGTCCAGGCCATTCCCAAAGCGGGCCTCTTGATATTCATCCTGAGTGCAATCATAGTCAAGGGTGAACGGCTCAGGGAGGAGGACCTGAAGGAACTTCTGAGAAGTAGGCAGGTACTAGGGGAGAGGGAGCACGCAGTAATTGGGGACCCCTGGAAATTCATCACAGAGGATTTGGTACAGGCTGAATACCTGGTGTACCAGCAGGTTCCTAACAGTGATCCTGCTTGCTATGAGTTCCTGTGGGGTCCGAGGGCCCATGCTGAAACCACCCAGAAAAAAGTCCTGAGGCATACATTCAGTATGGTTAGGACAGACCCCAGGGCTTTCCCACGTCTGCAAGAGCAGCCCTGAGACAGGATAGAGGAATGTTCTGGGCCCTGAGTTGCTGGATGAGTGACATCAACAGGGACTGGTCACACCAGCATCTCTGCTTAGATCTGATCCCTTGGGAAGTGAGGCCCAGGCTCACTCCATATTCCTGGAGACCAGGCAGTTATTTACTGAGTGAAGGGACAGGGGAGGGAGTCCCCAGGGTGCAGAACGTCATGATAGCTCCTGTTTGGGTTACTAGGTCAAGGTTATGTGATATCTTCAGGATTTGGGGAAGTCTTGCTTTTTTTGAGAAATTAAAGTAGTATTCAGTCATACATGAAGAATGATTCTCATTTCAGTTTCACCTGTATTTTTTAGTTTTGTATTGATCATTAATTGTGACTTCTGATGTGAACATAATTTTGTGATACTGTCCACAAATGTATTTGATTTTTCCTTTGCAAATATGAGTGCTTTTCCTGTTTTCTCAAACAGGCGAGACTTGCACTTTATTTCTGGTGAAATATGTTTGGAATTGGGATTTCCTTGGAAAAAATGTAGCTTTTCATGATACCAGAAGAAGCCTAGAAATAGATAAAGGGACAAAAGTCCATGCTCAGATTCTTTTATTCCTCTCCTTTTGTATACTATTAAAAAAGTGTGCATGCCTGAATCTGCTTGGTTTCTTCAGTAATACTACAGAACTTGCTGTCAATAAGTAAGGCCATCTCTTCACAGGACCATTCCAGAAAACTATATTGTACACTGGCCTTTTATAAAACCCTGTGTGCAGGATAGCATTGTGAGTACATTAGCCTGAGCAGGATCACAGCTACCCCGTGGAATGATGGCGCCCGGGTGTACCAGCTGTGATGGAGACAGAGAGAAGTCCTCCAGGAACTTAAGGAGCAGTTAGCAGAGCCCTGCATGGGGGGAGACTAGCAGACAGCAGCCCTGGGTGAGCACAGAGCTAGGACCATTTGGGGTTTAGTATTTACAGTTGATTCTGTAGAAATTGGTTTTAATGCAGCTCGAATATGGCCAGAGCCAGCGGCTCAGGTGGTGTTATGGGCTTTAGATCAAAGCCGCAGGGTGGAAGAGCGCTCTTAGCGCATTTTAGGTGGTGGACAATGACAAGCCCTCACCTGGAAAGATGATACCAGGAGTGGCCCGGTGAAGGGTGAGATCCAGGAGAAAAGAGCTTTCCTGTCAGGGAAGGGGATGCTCAGGTCACCTGAGGCCATAACGTCCTTGGCGAGGTGCTCTTATCTCCGTTTTCCGGGGTCTTACAGTGCCCCAGTGACTGTTCTTTGGGGGACACCTTCCTCTCCTGAGTGCCCTTTGCCTCCAAGTCTCTCACACAGTGGACAGCAGCACCTGGCCAGTGATGCTGATGTGCTACACAAGTGGTCAGGTGACTGTGTGACCAAGTATCTCTCCGTGTGCTCACCAGGATCTTCTTCATCTTGCAGCAGAAGAGAACCTGGGAGAGCTTTCCATTGCTTCCTTTCTGAAGGAAGGTTGTGCTAACCTTATGGGGCCTGTCACTTTCCTTGAGACCTCTTTGACTGCAGCTGTACTGAGCTGGCCTTGCCACTGGAACAGCCATGGTGTTAGACTTCATTGCCATAGTGTCTTTGTGTCCCCACCATGATGGGGAAATGATGGAAAACGCTAGTTGCAGTGGAGCAGTGGAGCAGTGTGGGGCAGGCAGGAGAATATGGTTCTTACTCACATTCTACAGCTCTGAGTTAGCTGGCCTGAGTACGGACAGTCTCCCCAATGTTTCATCATTCAGTACATCCTTTTGGGGGCGTGATTGTGGAGTAGCATTTTTGACTGAATTTTTACTCAGAGTCGCTGTAGCTATACCTATCCTTGAAAACATACAATATATCAGAAAAATAGTACCAGATTCAGATGTTAAGGTAATGCAAGAAACCAGCTACCCATCAGCAATCATTTAGTATATGGTATATCCGATGTTCTACCTGGTATTTTCACGCATTTCTTACATTCCCCTGGTCCATCAGCCTAACTCGTATGTGAGACCCATTGTATGGGACAAGGACTCGAGGCCTGCTGTGCTCCAGAACCCCTCAGGCTCCCTGTGTAGGAGATGCTACGACCAGCACTGGAGTCTCAGTGTGAGGTGACAGTTCCTGCTCTGTCCTTATTGCTCCCTACCAGAACCCAGCTCCGATTTTGAATTTAATTGTATTCTAGAGAAATAAGAGTATCATCTAAAATGCAGAAAGACCCTGTGTCCAAGACACTGGAACCTGGTCTGAATTCAGAATGTAAAACTGAGCAGATGATGGTTGCCTCTCCTCCCAGGGACATTGCCCACATCACCTGTCCTCGCTATCTATGGAGAAGTCACTGGTGGTCCCTTTGCTCTCCCTGGAAACCCTGTAACAGCAACAGATTTTGTGACATAAAAGTTGCCTTTGGACTGTCGTGTGAGTACCTGGGTTATGTGCCTGAGACACAAAGCAGCGCAGCGTCAGATATTGCCCAATAGGTGATCTGTAGCTAAGCAGGCAGCAGAGTCTTCTCCTTCACGTTTCAGGTCAGTTAGGAGAGCCGCTGCCTCCAAGTCCACACTGGGGCAGGAGTTCAGTGAAATGACTTACTGGGAAAGGTCCACGTAATGCATACATGGGTGCATGAGCATCTGTAGAGGGTAAAACCCACATCCCTCTGACAAGCGTAGGTGAGGCTGGCCCATGCTCACCACTGTAGAGAGAAGAGATTCATCGCTGGGGCTGAGCTCCCAGCCTGAGAGGAGGAAGCAGGTGCTGCTTTGTTGGTCATAAAATACAAATGAAAAAGCCTCCTTTGTTATGCTCCTGGGGTGTTTCTGGCGCCCGAATTCCTGATTGTCCCCGTGCCAAGGGGCACTCGTCCTGATGTTCATACAGAGACAGTCATGTGCACTGGAAGTAGAGCTCACAGGTTCCCAGAATGGCCGTGATGTCAAGGACAGGAGAACACTTTCCTCCTGCTAAGAGCTGCCTTCACTGTGAAGGGAGGAATAGACAAGGGATCAGGACTGAAGGACAGGTTCTCCTCATGTGGATGAGCCTGACCCTGTACCAGCAGCTGCTGTCCCACAGTGGGTGACACTTGAAAATCCTGCACTTTCCAGGGCCGCATCCTGTGGACACCCCTGCCGGAAGAGGGGTTTATCTCACATCACATCTCATGTGCTTGACCACTTACTATGTAACCTCTTACTTGGACACTAAAGTCCTCACTTCCACAGCATATCCTGCCTGCTTTTACTGTCTTGTGATCAGGGTAGACCACTTGTCCTTAGAAAGGGCATTGGGTGGTCCTGTGCCCCCGAGTTCCTAGCAGGCGGACTCCTCATCTGTGAGGGCCATGTCCGCAGGAAGTGCTGCAGGACAACAGGACTCACCCTTAGGCCCCAGCCCCACACCATACAGCCCTCCCTGTATATAAGCCAAGGAGTTTCAGCCCTGCTGAAGTGAGTGGATTCTGTACCTTGAAAGTCTGTGGCAGCAGACACTGCACAGATGCTGACTGTAGAGTTCGGGCATGCCTCTCACAACCTTTGGGCATTTCAGGTGCATCTATCAATCCCAGACAGTTATGAATCCCTCCCTGTGTGAGAGGCAGGTGGTACCAAAATCACCCCAATCCCTGGGCCAACTGCACGTGTTTCCTCATCCTGTAGATTTATCAATATACTTCTTCCCCCAATTCTGTTCATGTAAATATTGCAGTATTTTTCACTCTGAATCTTTGAAGAACTTTCCAATATATTTTCACTGTACATACTTTCATATGTATTCAGATTGGGAACCTCTTTCTTATAAAACATAAAGACATCCCTTTTGCATTGTACCAGTCACATCCTACTGAGAGAACTTCTGCCCAGCAAAATCTTTCCTCTGCACACTTAACTAAGGTGGCATCATAACAGGCTTCTGTTTTGCTTACGCTGTAACTGCAGCCAACTCCTCTGCCATGATTTGCATAAGTGTTTCCCAAGTGCTCATGCGTTAAAAGCTTGGTGCACAATCTGTAGTATCAAGCTGGGCATGGTGGCACAGACCTGTAATCCCAGCACTCAGCAGGCATAGGCAAGAGGATCGTTGCAAGTTTGAAACCAGCCTGGGCTACAGTGTGAGCTCTGGGCCATCCTGAACTGCTTAGCAAGACCCTGGGTCAAAAAGACAAAAGAAAATCATTATGACAAGCTGTGAGATCATTGAGAGGCATGGAAACATCAGAGATGGGATTATTGGGATGCCTTCGGTCATTGAAAGTGCTCTTGAGGGGGATTGTGGGCTGCTGGTCTCTTCCTCCTTTTCTCTGCTTCCTAGCTGCAGTAAGGTGATGACCTCCAGCCAGAAGATGCCCCCAGTCCTAATTTATGGCATTAGCACAGGCACCAGAGCTACGCCAGCTGACTATGGACCAAAACCTCAGAAACTCTGAGCCACACTTAACCCTTCTTTATTTGTCCATGATCTGATCAAATCACTTTATAATATTTACAGTAAACAGGGGAATCATACAGAAGACTTTTTACATATGGTGCTGGTAGACTTAGACATGTACATGCTGGTGAATGAACCTAGACTCACTCCTACTTTCTAAATTAAATAATATCAGCCCAAAACTGATGACACACCAAAATCTTGTCTGAAATTATGGAACCCATAGAAGAAAACAGATGAGAAATACTCCAGGGTATTAGATTGGGAAAAAGTATTCCTGGTGAAGACCACAAAAGCACAGATAACAAAAGTAAAGAGAGACACATAAGAAGATGTTGCTAAAGATAGTTTTTTTTTTTATTTTATGGAAAAAATAAAACAAAATTTCAAAATAAATTAGGATAATGACACTAGTTAATACATTGCACATTGTTATCTTCAAAGTATTTACTCAGACTGCAAGATATGGGTATAAAATTTCTCCAAGTGATCTTGGCACAAACTTTTCTTTTCAATAAACTAAAAGAAACTAGTAACATAATGTGCTTTTTCCTTTCCCCTTGCTTC